CACGTTCATAAGTAGGTATATAGTCATCAATCATATATACCACAAAGAACGTAAAGTCGACAAAGCATAATATATTGTAAAGTGTAAATCTAATTAACTCATAAACGTTTCATAAAACGTAACCAACAAATCATGCTTTTCATGTATGCATTTCTAATAGTAAAATATGCATTTTAGAAGGGGTTCACTCATAGATACTTCGCCGTCAAAGAGCCGTGCAAATTAGAGAAAATGGAAATGTTATAAACAATTGCACATAAGCACATAAAGGGACCAATTAATAAAACTCTATCATAACGATTAAATTTCAGGAAACGGACGTCATAAATAGATTCAAGAAGTCGAAAAACATAAGAGGGGAACTTGGGTACCCCCACATGCCATCACAAGACGGCAACCCGGATAGCCACGCACCGCTACGTGCCGATTTGGGTCCCCGGAAAGTTGGCCAGAAAAGTCACCAGCGTCGTCGTGGAAGGTGGCGAAGCTTAATACCTTCGGTGGATGCCCGTGTGCTCCACGCGCTGGCCAAGACAGGCGCCTACGTGGGCTCATACTCAGGCCTACGTGCGGACTGGGATCTAGGTTTGGGCCGTTCTCCTTGGGTTTAGGCTTAAGGTAGCTGGGCTTGGGACATGCGTGTTGAGTTGGGCCGAGGCTAAAGGGTTGGGCTGGGTCTCATTTGGGTTTGGGCTTGTATCTGGGTTGGGTTCAATAAGTCACAATTACGGATTGAGACGAGAGTTTAGGTCGGGTTCTATGGCCCAATAGCTTTAGGTCGGCTAAGGTTGTAGGTCGGGTTTAACCTATTTTTCCGGTCAGGTTGGCCAAAATCTTGGAAAACTTCTTGAGCTCTGTTCGAGCTCGAAACTACACCATTTTCAACGTTTAAACTGTGGAAAAGAAGCTACGAGGGAAAGGAAGAGGATCATACCATTTTTTGGCCCAGCTGTGACCGGGAGATGGCTGTGAAATCCAAGTAAAGTCATGGTCCATCACCGGGGAACTGGGTGTGCTAAGTTCCGTGTCTCTGTGCTTCACAGAGAATGAGAGAGGGAACATGCAATGAGTAAGGGTGATGGTGGTGGTGTTGCCGTCGTTGTCGTGGTTGTTTGGGTGCATATGGCTTGGAGATGAAAAATGAGTGAAGAAAGAGACTTGCGTGAATGAGAGAAAGTGAAGAAAGAGAGCTATGAGGTTTGTCACGAGAGAGGGAAGGAAGAAAGAGAATGAAGTGTCTAGGCTAGGGGGATAAAAATAAAAAGGTGGGCCTCATGTGGCTTACCAATTAAGACCAAAAGTAACCCTTTCAAAATATCTAGCCCAATCCCAATGAAATTACCAAAATACCCTTCCGTTCTAAAATCTATAAAGTTATTCAGGACGGGTTGTTACACTGTGACCGGAGATAACCTGATGTATTCCAAATGAACATAAAAGCACTTGAAAATGCTTAATGAAAAGGCATTTGAAAGTGTTTCTTAAAAAAGTATCTGGCAGGTGCTTCTATAGGAAGTGTATTCATAAGTCAGAAGCACTTTTAAGTTTTTCTGTTAAATGCAATCAAAAGTGCTTTTGACTATCAGGAAGCGAGAGTTTTTCATGCAGTTAGGCTTTTGTAACAAAACAATGTGCTTTCTGCATCTAAATATGTATGTAGTTCCTATTCTCACTTATTCATCTATTTGTTCCACCACTACTACAAAAGAAGCTATCACTGGCGGTGGAAAAACCGATAAGAAACCCCAATTACTGTCAGATTTTTAGTAAAAATTTGACATCAAATCGTGCAATGTCGCATATGAGAACCAACGTCATTGCTACCATCACGAAAAAGGTATTGACGTCTATGGATGCAAATTTCCGCCTTCTTGATCTTGGAAAAAATAGCACCTACAAAATAATTAACACCTTAGGTTAAGGCCAAGAGCCTCACGAGCCCACGATGAATGAGGGGAGCTTTGGCCGAAGAACCTCCGATGCCAAAGTTAGAATTTAGAGAGAAAAAGTGTTTGGAGAGTTTTTAGAGTTTACAAGAGTGTGGACTTAGGTTTTTAGAGAAAAATGGGTAGTATTTATAGGGTATGGCCGGTCCCCTTTGGAGAAAAGGTGGCCGGCCTTTGGGATGCTTTTTGTGTGCATTTTGTGGTTTAATGTGTGAGTTATTTGGCAATTAATGGATTAATTAGGTAATTAATCTATTAATTAGCCAATTAACACATTTTTGGAATGAATATTTTGGAGGTTATGTAATTTATGTGGAATATTTTGTAAGTTATGGAATGATAACTAATTGATTAGCTAAAAGAGGGAAAAAGAGGTAAAAATATATGGAATGAAATAGGTTTTGGGAGTTACCTTGTAGAAGGGATTCGATGAGATGGATTTTGAATTGTTACCTATTTTGGGCACTTTTGACTTGGTTGAGGATGATTGTCCTCTGCTCGTGCGTAGAAATCCCGGTATGCCTCAAGAATACTTTTGTCATCTTCCATCCAAAAATCATCGTGTCATCTTGTGATTATTTTTGGCTCCACAAATGCTCCCACACCTGTTGGGCTGCTCGCAAAAAAGGGCAACAGGTGTAGAGATTTTTTTGCTTTAGGAAACTTTGGACTGCTTCCTATTTTGATGTAGATTCCCTCTTTAATAGGAAATTAGATCCTTTTAGGAAAGGGAAATAAATTTCTCTCAAAGCCTATTTAAGTCTACCTTAAGTGGGTTATTAAATCAACTTTGAAGAGCGATTTATTCTACCCTACAAGAGAGAAAGAGCTTAGAGGATATTTGTTCCCCCTTCTCTAGCAATCTTCTACATCTTGCTTGTGCAAAGGATCGTCTTTCGTTGCTTTCTTCATTTTCTCTGTGCCGCATTGATGCAAGAAAAATTCAATTTTCTTGTCTTTTTCGTGGATAATGCTGTCGCGGGGCAGCTGTCAAGGTGGTGCGACATGTCGGTTGGCAGAGGCCAAGAGTCGGCTTAGCATAAGCCAAGTAGGTGGTTTGGCAAGGGCCATTGCTTGTGTTGCTCGGCTTGATTGAAGCCAAGGATTGGCTTTGCATGGGCCGAGGAAGTGGCATGGCATGGGCAACGGTTTGGGCTGCCACGTCTGGGCTGCTTGCCAAAAATGAGAAAACTGCTGGAGTTTGATTTCTCAATTGCCGTAAATGGAGCAGTTAAGGATGGAGCTGCCAAGATCGGATTTGCTGAAGATGAAGTGTCGGATGAGCAAACTGTTAAGTGTAAAAGTGGTTGTTGTCCCCTAACCATTTGTTGCCTAGTTGATCTTCAAGCATTCGATCTTTTGACCTATGTGGCATTCTCGCACTAGAGGGCTTACCCAGATAGGTGTCGGGGATTTAGTTTACCCTATCGCACTGGAAGGCAATTAGTTTATCCTCTAGCATTGAAGAGCACACCCATATGGGTGTCGGGGAATTGGTTTACCCTCTCGCACTAGAGAACCAGACCCATATAGGTGTTGGGGAATTGGTTTACCCTCTCGCACTGGAGAACAGACCCATATGGGTGTTGGGGAATTAGTTTACCCTCTCGCACTGGAGAGCAATTAGTTTATCCTCTCGCACTGGAGAGCAGACCCATATTGGTGTCGGGGAATTGGTTTACCCTCTTACATTGGAGAGCAATTAGTTTATCCTCTCGCACTGGAGAGCAGACTATTTTGGGTGTCGGGGAATTGGTTTACCCTTTCACACTAGAGAGTAATTAGTTTATCCTCTCGCACTGGAGAGCAGACCCCTATGGGTGTTGAGGATTGGAGAGCAATTAGTTTATCCTCTCACACTGGAGAGCAGACCCATATGGGTGTCAGGGAATTGGTTTACCCTCTCGCACTGGAGAGCATGGAAATCATTGTCGTGAGTGTAGTTGAGGAAAAATGGACTACTAGAACAACCGAAATAATCATTAACTTGGCCCCGGTTCTTGGTAGTTGGGCTTGGTGTGTCATTTTGGTATTTGTCTGCCCTCGGCGTGCCATTAGGCTGAGCTACTACATTTGTCGAAACAGAAGTAGTCTTTATATCCAGCAATCTATATAGGGTAGTCTCGTCTGCTCGATCTTGCCATTGAAAGATGACTCGTTCATGTTGGTTATGTTTTATCGGAGCGCCTTATCAATAGTTTCGTTGCACAGGAAATTGCGCAATCACTCGGTCAGGAACCTTTCTACTTCTTCCTGAATTCGCCTTTGTTGGGAGTGGCAGAGCTCTCGGCTGCCCCAGTCTTAACCTTTTGGTCTAGGCTGCTCTTCTACATACTCTGCTCATCTACGCCGCGACAGCGATGCATGTGGTGGATTCCTAGCAAGCGAGGGATTTTGCAGGCTGTTGGTTGAACTTAAGCCGGATTGAGTGATTGCTTCTCTTTGCCCGTCATGCTGCCTACCCCGATGTGATATGGAGGATGCTCCTTGCGGGCCTAGCCACAAATGAACACTTCGCTTTGAAGGCTGCTCATGTTGATTATCGGAGTGTGGCCCCAATCGTGACTGTATGCTCGTCTATGGGCTTAGTCGAGAGTGCACGCTCCTCCACACATTAAGACGGGAGTATATGCTATCTCGAGGGCCCAATCGGGAGTGTACTCTGCCCAAATGCTCGGTTTGTGGCAGGTCGAGTGGCTGCTTGTCGGGACGCTGCTGGAGAGGTTCTTCGTCTGCCCTTGTCCTTCTTCGGGACACCTCATTTGGAACACGTTGCATCTTCGTGCGCTGCAAAAGCTGGTTCACCAAGGTCGTCTGCTGTGTTAGAGCACTCGTTAACTCTATGACTTGTCGAGACAAGTGTTGTTCGCCATTTGGATTGGAAGAGCTAGGAACGAATGTTTCGCATTGAACAATGGAAGTGTGGTAGACTCCAGGAGCGAGATTTGAGCTGGGAAATGTCAAATCCGCAGAAAAATATGGTGAAAATGCTCCCGGTTTGATCATCGGTCCAGAAATTTGGAGCCAAAACGATTGAACTAGTCTTGGACCGATTTAGGCTAGTTGGAAGGCCATGGGAGCGGGAACAGACTGGGCTGCGATAGTAGGCTGGGCCACAGGAGTAGGCTGCTCGGTGGGAGCAGGTTGGACCACGGGAGCAGGCTGGGCCACGAGAGCAGATTGTTTAGCAGGAGCAGGCTGGGCCACGAAAGCAGGCTGCTCGATGGGAGTAAGTTGGGCCACGGAAGTGGGCTGCTCGGCGTGTGGCACACGTGGGTGCGAGGCTAAGGCTCGGTTTGGCAAAGTGTTGGGCTCATGTTTGGCTTGGAATGACATGGCTTGGGTCATGGCCTTAGTGCCATGAGCCTTGGATGGCACGACTTGGGCTTGCTTTGGCGGCACGGCTCGGGCCGTGGTAGTGGTGCCATGAACCTCGCCGCGGGTAGCCACAGCGGTGGTTCCCATGGTGGAACCTTGTGGTGGTGGTGCCGCTCCCCCTAGGATCACATTTAGTCTCGTGGATCGCCGCGATCCCATTTCTTGAATATTGGAATTTTCACTCATGGAGTTTTCTAAATTTCTAGCCATTGTATTTCTCTTTTTCATTTTATGAAATAATCTTTGCAAATAAAAAATTCTAATAATAAGAACGTATGAAAAATACAAGTGGACTAGAAAATAGAGAAAAAAACCTTTTTATGCGAGAGTCTTCTACGAGTGTGAATTTCAACTCTCAATGAAAGCACCAATTTGTGGATGCAAATTTCCGTCTTCTTGATCTTGGACAAAATTGCACCTACAAAACAATTAATACCTTAGGTTAAGGCCAAGAGCCTCATGCGCCCACGATGAATGGGGGAGGAGGGTTTTGGCCGAAGAACCTCCGATGCCAAAGTTAGAATTTAGAGAGAAAAAGTGTTTGGAGAGTTTTTAGAGTTTACAAGAGTGTGGACTTAGGTTTTTAGAGAAAAATGGGTAGTATTTATAGAGTATGGCCGGTCCTTTTGGAGAAAAGGTGGCCGGCCTTTGGGATGCTTTTTGTGTGCATTTTGTGGTTTAATGTGTGAGTTATTTGGCAATTAATGGATTAATTAGGTAATTAATCCATTAATTAGCCAATTAACACATTTTTGGAATGAATATTTTTGAGGTTATGTAATTTATGTGGAATATTTTGTAAGTTATGGAATGATAACTAATTGATTAGCCAAAAGAGGGAAAAAGAGTTCAAAATATATGGAATGAAATAGGTTTTGGGACTTACCTTGTAAAAGGGATTTGATCAGATGGATTTTGAATTGTTACCTATTTTGGACACTTTTGACTTGGTTGAGGGATAATTGTCCGCTGCTCATGCGTAGGAATCCCAGTATACCTCAAGGGTATTTTTGTCCTCTTTTATCCAAAAATCCACATGTCGCCTTGTGATTATTTTTGGCTCCACAACGCCGGTTAGTCCCCTTAATCCGCCACCAAGAAGCAAAGTAATATAAAATAAAAAAGAACAACAGCGTCGCTTAAAAGTGACATCTACACTTACGTCGGTTAGAAGCGACGTTGAATTCTAATATGATGGCAGTCCAAACCGACATCAAGCAACAATTAAAGAATTAAAATATCAAACCTATTGTCGGTTCTAACCGACATCACGTAACAGTTAAACAAATAAAATACTCAAACTACTGTAGGTTTTAACCGACATTACTTAACATATAGATACATAAAATAATTATTATGTTGTCACCCATAAGCGACACCAAATATATTAATAATAATAATAATAAATCTTTTTCCGTTTTTAATTAATAATAATTAAAAAAGTTATATAAAAATAAATCCCACCATATGTCAATGAAAAAACAAACAATTTTAAGCAAACTTCATATTAAAAATAAAATTTCTACCAATTATATATTAAATTTAAAATTAACTACAACTCCTAAAAATGTACAACCCATACAAATTCTTCCCGAACTCTTGCAAAAGATTTTGAACCGGTTGTGTGGTTCATAGTTTTCAACTGCCAATTATACTTATTTTTTTTGGCAATCTCCTGAAAAATAAAAGAATTTATTAGACAAATTTCAAGGTATAATAAAATAAATCATGAAACGTTTACCTTTGTTTTTTCTTTATTCCAATATGCCACCATCGGAATATTTTTGTAATCTCTAACCTTTGCTGCTATATGTTTCCAATCCGGAAATGAGGGTCCGCGTCTCCATTGAGTTGATCCTTATAAATACGGCAAAAACAATTAAAAACCAAGAAACAAAAATAAATTTTCAATTTAAGCATAAAACAAGTTAAAATACAAAACAGAAACTAAAATTAATTATCATAATAATTTAAAAATGAACCACCTTCGAGCTCTTCCTCTTCGAATTGGAGTTCCTCAAAATGTTGATCTTCAAAATGGTGATCCATAGCAAATCGGGAAGGAGAAGAGGAAAAACTGAAAAGGAGGAAGAAAGGGACGCACGGATGAAAGGGGGTAGAAGAAGAAGAAAGACTGAAATTGGGGGAGAAATGAGAGCACGGATGAAATGGGAAAGAGAGCAGTTTAAATATGGGTACTTAGTTGGCGTCGGTTTAAACCGACATGGATTGACTGACGTCGAATTAAATGTACATGGCGTCAGTTATAACCGATGCCAACCTAACACACTTTACTGATATTCACGTCGAATTAGATGAACCAGTCAACTTTTTGACACTCTTTATTGAAAATACAGCGTCGATTTAAATTAATGTTGGTGTCGGTCTTAATCGACACCAACTTCTAACACATTTTTTTGAAGTTTACATAGCGTCGGTTTAATGAAACTTGCGTCGAATTAAAAGATTATAACGTCGGTTAAAACCGACACTAAGTTTAACCCAAATTTCCCGTGCAAAACAAGCGGGAAATTTCCCGCCTAATATTTGAGAAATTTCCAACCTAAATATTCATCCATTCCGACTAATATTTAACCCAAAGAAAAAAAATAACCAGCTTTTTTCTTCTTTTTTTTTTTTTTGTGTTATCTCATATAACATTTTAAGATTTTAATAAATAAAATTTAACTTGAATAAAATACGTAATAAAAAACATAAATATAATTTTATTATAAAATATCATCACATACTAATTGAAACATAGTCTAATTAATACTTAAAATATAAAAAATAATAAATATATTTATTCCAAGTCATCATCGGTTAGGTCGTCGTCGGTATTAGCATAATTAACGAACTTAGTAGGCAACGGTAATGATTCAAGAAAATGAGTCTCTTCCACGTTGTTAGGAAATTTTCATTGTCAAGTATCCGATCTCAAATCATATGCATACAAGTTTGATGGTTGAATCGTTGAAATTAGTTTCGTGTAATGCATATCCCATCAAAACGATAGATTCACTAACACTTAGAATTTATTTATACTTTCATTAAGTATAACATAAGATAACTAGTGTAAATATTTTAAATTGAAGATCGAATTCATTCATTGTATTCATATAAGGTCAAAGAGTGTAGCTGTAAAAAAATCATCAAAATCGAAGTTAAAATAATTGTCAAATTGTGATTTTTCGTTTATAACCATCGAAAAGTTTTGTCCCGTTACTTGATCTCTGAATGTTTATGTTTTTCGATTTTTGGCGTATGTGATTTCAAAGTATATACAAACAAGTTTGACGGTTGGATCGTTGAAATTAGTTTCGTAGAATGCATATCCCATAAAAACAATAAATTCACTAACACTTAGAGTTTATTTATACTTTCATTAAGTATAACATAATATTTTGTGGTATCCACTAGGGTAAATATTTTAAATTGAAGATCGAATTCATTCATTATATTCATATAGGGTCGAGGAGTGTAGCTATAAAAAATAATCAAAATCGGAGTTAAAATAACCGTTAAATCGTGATTTTTTGTTTTATAACTATCAAAAAGTTTTGGCCCATTACTTGATCTTTGAATGTTTGTTTTTTTCAATTTTTGGCGTATGCAATCTCAAAGTATATACAAACATGTTTGACGGTTAAATTGTTGAAACTAGTTTCGTAGAATGTGTATCCCATCAAAACAATAGATTCACTAACACATAAGAGTTTATTCATACTTTCATTAAGTATAACATAAGATTTTGTGGTATCCACTAGTGTAAATATTTTAAATTGAAGATCGAGTTCATTCATTATATTCATATAAGGTCAAAGAGTGTAGCTGTAAAAAATCATCAAAATCAGAGTTAAAATAACCGTTAAATTGTGATTTTTCGTTTATAACTGTTGAAAAGTTTTGTTCCATTACTTGATCTCTAAATTTTTGTTTTTATGATTTTTGGCATATGAGATCTCGAAGCATATACAAACAAGCTTGACGGTTGGATCATTGAAATTAGTTTCGTAGAATGCGTATCCCATCATAACGATAGATTCACTAACACTTAGAGTTTATTTATACTTTAATTAAGTATAACATAAGATTACTAGTGTAAATATTTTAAATTGAAGATCGAATTCATTCATTGTATTCATATAGGGTCAAGGAGTGTAACTATAAAAAATCATCAAAATCGAAGTTAAAATAACCGTTAAATCGTGATTTTTCGTTTATAACCGTTAAAAAGTTTTGTCCCATTACTTGATCTCTGAATGTTTGTTTTTTTACAATTTTTGGCGTATGTGATCCCAAAGCATATGCAAACAAGTTTAACGGTTGGATTGTTGAAATTAGTTTCGTATGATGCGTATCCCATCAAAATGATAGATTCACTAACACTTAAAGTTTATTTATACTTTCATTAAGTATAACATAAGATTTTGTGGTATCCACTGGTGTAAATATTTTAAATTGAAGATCTAATTTTGTAATAGAGTAGTATTCATTCATTGTATTCATATAGGGTCAAGGAGTGTAACTATAAAAAATCATCAAAATCGAAGTTAAAATAACCATTAAATCGTGATTTTTCGTTTATAACCGTTGAAAAGTTTTGTCCCATTACTTGATCTCTGAATGTTTGTTTTTTTACAATTTTTGGCGTATGCGATCCCAAAGCATATGCAAACAAGTTTAACGGTTGGATTGTTGAAATTAGTTTCGTATGATGCGTATCTCATCAAAATGATAGATTCACTAGCACTTAAAGTTTATTTATACTTTCATTAAGTATAACATAAGATTTTGTGGTATCCACTGGTGTAAATATTTTAAATTGAAGATCTAATTTTGTAATAGAGTAGTATTCATTTATTGTATTCATATAGGGTCAAGGAGTGTAACTATAAAAAATCATCAAAATCGAAGTTAAAATAACCGTTAAATCGTGATTTTTCGTTTATAACCGTTGAAAAGTTTTGTCCCGTTACTTGATCTCTGAATGTTTGTTTTTTTACAATTTTTGGCGTATGCGATCCCAAAGCATATGCAAACAAGTTTAACGGTTGGATTGTTGAAATTAGTTTCGTATGATGCGTATCCCATCAAAATGATAGATTCACTAACACTTAAAGTTTATTTATACTTTCATTAAGTATAACATAAGATTTTGTGGTATCCACTGGTGTAAATATTTTAAATTGAAGATCTAATTTTGTAATAGAGTAGTATTCATATAGGGTCAAGGAGTGTAACTATAAAAAATCATCAAAATCGAAGTTAAAATAACCGTTAAATCGTGATTTTTCGTTTATAACCGTTGAAAAGTTTTGTCCCGTTACTTGATCTCTGAATGTTTGTTTTTTTACAATTTTTGGCGTATGCGATCCCAAAGCATATGCAAACAAGTTTAACGGTTGGATTGTTGAAATTAGTTTCGTATGATGCGTATCCCATCAAAATGATAGATTCACTAACACTTAAAGTTTATTTATATTTTCATTAAGTATAACATAAGATTTTGTGGTATCCACCGGTGTAAATATTTTAAATTGAAGATCTAATTTTGTAATAGAGTAGTAGTGTATGGATGTTTGTTCATTAGGCTCTTATTTTCGAGTGTAGATGTATTACTTAAACGACAAATGTATTTTAATGTTTTGAAGTAATATTTATGTGGCAACGTGTGGTATGTGCAAATTTAAGAAAAAATATATATTTTTCTTAATGGGTCATAGCAGGTCACCTGTTAAGAACCCGTTAAGATAATGGGGACACGACCTGTTAAGATAACAGGTGTTACACGAAAACGATAAACACGACCCATTTGTTAGGCCTAGTTGCGTGCCACCTCATAAACTCATCCTTAAGAAAGATGCAAGAGAGGAAGAAGAAAACACGGGGGATAGTATATAAAGACCATCAATCTATCGCTTACAACTGACACCGGGTTTCAAAATATTAAAAAAATAAAATCTACGTCGCTCAGAACCGACGCAGGCTTTAAAATATTTAAAAACAATAATTAGTGTCAGCTAGAAGCGACATCAATACTTAATGTCGCTTAAAAGCGACACTATTTTTTTTAAAGCGACATCATTATTTAAAAATTATTAAAATGTATGTCCGTTATAAGCAACATTAAATGTTTACGTCAATTAAAAACGACATAGACAGTTTATGACGCTTACAAGCGATAGTGAATCCCACGTCATGTTCAGTAGGTGTTGCAAATGTCTTGTCCGTCACTATATTATATTAAAGCGACATCACCCAGTGACACAATAAGTCCATTTTGTAGTAGTGCACTTTTTTTTTTCTTCACGTTTCAATTGATTTCTAATGAGAATTCCGTGGTCAGCTACAATTCCTATTTAACTTTAGATCTCTTAATGAAATGTCATTACTGTTCTACGAATTTAGCATGCGTTGACAAAGCTGCATTTTACTTTCTCATTTCTTGTTTTCTGTCAATTTCGAGGCCGCCCTTTCGCATCACAAAAATTTACTGGAGAGGTGATATTGTTTTCCGTTGAACACGCTACATGTTGTTCTACCGAATAACTACCTGGAACAATTGCAGGACGATCTGCAGAAACAATGTCCAAGTACTGTTACATTCTAAGAACAGTAAAGCACATAATCTCGAGAACAATATAGGTTAGGTACTTGAGATTAATGGATTTCTTACAAATTTAATCTTAGGGGATCCACTGTAAGTGAAACATTAAGTTCATTTAGACAGAAACAGTTCGCGTAGCAGGCAAAAATTTTCAATGACGAAATTTGTCTAGCACTTGGTGAGCCTATCATCTTTTGCGTTCATATCAACAAATGCCAAAGAAATATACCGAGAGATGTCAACGCATCCTGCCAAATGTTGCCAAGATACTCCTAGAAGGCATTTTCACTAAACATTTGATGGGCACAAAAGGGCACATTTGGAAGGTACTCAAAGGACCTTCACATGCATTTTTTTCCGGCCTTCAGAGGGTCCTAGGATCATCTGGATCCCTATGTGAATCCGACCATGATGACAAGAACTCCAAGCAAAAGGGGTAAGAAAAGTTAAGTATATCGTTACAAACGAGAATTCCATCCAACAAGGAAGGAGAACATCAACAATCAAAAGCCCAAAATACATTCAAAACAAACCTAGTCAAGTAATTAATACCAGTAAGTAACTAAGCAAAAATCTAATGTGCTAGATAACGTGTGTTTTGCAGATATTTCACACAGTTGGCTTAAACTGAGACAAATGCAACCATCGAGACAAGGGGTTTGAAGTTGGCTTTAGAAGCAGGCTCTTCTCTGGCATAGTAGAATCATGTGCACAATGTGCTCGAAAACATAGTTTGATCCGAATTTGGACAATTATTAGAACCAAACTAGCCCAAACTAACTATATCTGCTCAAAATCATCCAAGATCCAAGTTATAAAGGTTGGGAATTAATAAACATATATAAAGGTATAGTCTGTTTAGTCTTCATATTAAACTCACAGGCAATGCAGACCACATCCAAGTACTAAGTGAACTTACATTTAACTCAAGATGTATAGATCATCCCTCGAGCGGATTGAGCACCTGCCCGATGAACAACACCGTTCTAGTAATTTCGTCTCTGATGAAGAACATGAAGGGGTGATCAGCCACAAAATCTATCTTTTTAGGAGGATTAAGAACACGAGAACTCCCCATAAGTTGTGTCGCAGTAACAGCTGCAGCTTCAGTGCCTCCTTCATTAACTTCAATGCACGATTTGTGGAGTATCTTGAAAGCATCACCAGGTGGCGAGTCAACCATCTCTGGCAAACCACTAGTGAAAGGTAACACCAATCCTAACTCCTTGAGAGTTTCGGACGCTTCAAAGTTGGAAGAAAACTTAAACCTAGGGATTTTGAAGTCGCCCACTTCAACTTTACTGTATGGCTGATGTTGATTCAAGAAGTCATTGTCGGTACAAACTTTGTCCAACAAAGCTGGCAGCCCATCTTTCGCAACAGGAAGAATAATGTCCATGGAGAAACGCCGCTGAGGAGGCTTGCCTTCTTCTTCACCACCTTGTCTGTAAGGAAGCTCTAAGACTTTGAAGCCGTCAAACTCCCTTAAATACTGCCACCTATCGGTGGACATGAAGTGTGCCTGAACTGATCTCCCGCTGAGAAGGTAGAATTCTTGCTCTTTTGTTTTCGACACATCAAACTTCTTCTCCCAATCCCCTTTGAAGTACAATGCATTCGAAAACACGAGCCTAGTTAAATCGTCAATTGATCCGGGAGCAAAAAAGTCTTTGATCAGACCACCAGTCTTCTCTTCGGCCCATGAATTCACTTCGATTCTCACCTCTTCCGCCTTGTTCTTGAAATCGACTTTGCTTGCAACTGCCTTGTAAAACACGTCCACCACCTCTTTGAAAGAAGGCTTAATATTGAGAGACTCGTCGACCCAAAGTCCATATTGCAAACTAATGAAAAATGGCAAGTGGCCCTTTACAGCAGTAGTGGAAAAGTGTTGAGCCATTGCATGACGGTATGGGTTTAAACTCCGTCAATGACTAATTCAACATCTAATTTAACAAAATCTATCGTTTGACAAAAAAATTTAATGAAAAATGTCTCATGAACATTTTTTTTTTATCTAAAAACACGTAATGAACTCTTTTTAATCATAAGACAAGAGGCGGTGACAATATCGTACTACATTGAATTTAGCAGCTAATTTACGAAGAATCAGTTGCCGAAAATTTGTTGAAGAAATAGTTGACAATGCACTAACTTCAATTTAATTATGATACTGCCACTGCAACCCAATTTAATATAATTAAGACATTGCCACAGCTCCTGTAGTTTTGCCCTTATTACTATTTATTATTTAAAGTTCATTAGTCTCATGGAAATTATAATTAAGACAGTTTGGCAGCGTCTCATTATTAATTTAGACACTTTGGCTTACATGGTGGGCATGCGCATGACCGTGGCAATGTCTCATTGTCATTGAGAGAGGATGCTCGCTGGATCTTTTTTGTGAGGATTCTGAAATCCTCTAATCACATCCGTTTATCATACATCGTACTGTCAGTTTTCATCGAGTACTATTTATATTCAATTTTAAATAAAAAAATTTATAATGATTTCTGACCGTACGATGTACGATGAACGGATGTGATTTGAGGGTCCCTAGGATCCTCTCAAAAAGGATCCGGCGATGATACTCACTCATTGTCATTGCCCCCACTCCTCTGTTGCTTATAAATATTGTTCACTAATAATTTGTTTTGTAAAGCTCTTTCATTAAGTTCCGTTAATTTTTTTTTTTTAGTACAACGAGACATTTTACATTAAGGAGATGGAGAGTTCGCTTCAGCCACACAATGGGCAACCTAATTTGGTATCGAATTCGCCATCAACGAGAATCGAGCCTGAGACATCTCACTTACAAGTGAAGATGAATACCACCAGATCGTAGTACTGAGTGTTAAGTTCTGTTAATTATGTATTAGATAATACTTGCATTCTTCACGGGCAATGCACCATACTTTCAATATGTAAGTTTTATAATCGACATCTTTTAATTTTTTAATCTTCTTTTGAAGATCATCTATACAATAGAAATCATCCGAATTTGAGATTATTTAGACATCAAATTGTGTAGACTAATCGAATAACATATTCATGATGAATCGTCAATTTATTTGATACTTTGGATAACTAAACGATTTTTTATTCCAATGTATCAAATAATTGGATGGCTCATCATAAACATGTTACCTGGTACTCACACTATCAATTTGTCCATCCATTGAATGATTAAATAATCTTCAATTTGAATGATTTTTTGTGTAAAAGATAATCTCACGATAACAATTATGGCGTGTTTACGAAACGGGAATGACGTAAGTGGAATCGGAATTGCATTCCTTCATATGCATTCATGCGTTTATTTGTATATAAGGAATGAAAACAAAGGTGGGGTCCACCCAAAATGGGGAATTCAATTCCAGATTTGCCTGGAATCCGATTACCAAGATGTAGGTGGTAATTGAATTCCGAAAGAAATGGTCCATCAGTAATCAAACTTTTCTTCCTAAAGTGCCCTTGTACTTCTTTTTAAACAACCATGCCGCTTCAACACTCTTGCTTCTCTCTCAGTGGACTCCTTGCAACTTCTTCTCCAATTTCTCTTCGTTCCGCGACTTGGTACTAGAGCTTTCAAGGTCCATCTTCCTCCTTGCCTTTAGTCAACTGTTGTTTATCCCAAACCCGATTCATGTCCCCATTCTTATATATTCTCATCTCGACTCTTCGATACGCCGACTCCATGGTTAAAAACTCATTCACTGCCTCAACTAGGAAACTCAAAATTGGGGTAAAAAAATTAAGGTTGGGACATGGAAGGAGGGAGCATGAAGGGTTCTTCGTAAACGTGGGGTGGGTTGGCAGCAAAGAAAGATATTTTAGAAAGGGGTAGGTCAACAGTACGTCGGCAGCAGAGAACGGGGAAATTTTAGAAATGGGTAGGTCGGGAAAGACGGGGAAGAAAGGGAGAGACCGAGGGTCACAAAAAAATTGGAAAATGAAAGAATGAGAAGAAGAGTTTCTGGGAAATTGAAGTTGCAGAGTTTCTAGAGGGTTTTTGAAAGCGTGAATGAGAAGAACAAATACTAAAAAATAAAAAAATGAAAGATAAAAGTTTAAAAATAATTAGCATAGAAAATAGATTAGTTAAACTAGGAGTATTTTTGTAATCACATCAGTTTTCATTCCGATTCAAGTAAATTAGTAAACAGTTTATATAGATTAATGTCATTCTTACTCCAATTCCAGACAGTTTTAGTAAACAACTTCAACAGTAATCTGATTCTAATTCCATCTTATTCTAATTCCTCCTCAATTCAATTTCTTCTCAATTCAATTTATCTCAATTTACGAATTAGTAAGCGTGCCCTTAAAGTTTTGTCCTTGTATACTTACTGTTTAGTTAACGACAGGAACCAATTATGTACGATTTGTTAAATCTAATTCTAACGTTTACTCTAATTAATAATACAAACTTCCACATTGCTCACTTAACTTTCAATTTGATTGGAGTATTGAAAACATTGTCAAATCAGAAAATGGCCTAGTTTGGCTGGCGCGAAATCTTTTTAAAAGGCACTGCCCCAATCATCCTGTGCACCTTGAAATAGTCGACTTCAGAGTCGAACCATTCCCACGCCATTTCTCACATTCTCTCTGTCTCTCTTTCTCTCTCTCTGCACGCCAAAAGTCGGCAATCAGCGAGCCTCCGTCCCGCCACCAACGCCGACGCTGTTCATAGATCGTAAGCCGTTTGTCGAGGGTCATCCCTTCCCCACTTCGCTCAATTACCGGAGTACGCAAATCGAGACAACACAATCCTCGGCGACTGCTGGTATTTCCACGATTTCCCGCGTATCTATCTGGTGATTTTCGTGGCACACAATTTTTTGTTGACAGAAGCCTATAAATTGTCAAAGCAGAATTGGTTAATGGTTTTTTTTTATTTTTTGTATGGAATGTAATTGTCCATAAATTGTCACTGATCTTTAGTCATGTGTCACACACGAGAAGGACTTCTGTAAAACGATGGCAGTGAATCAATTTCATTTAAGTTTCTCTTATTACACACATAATTTGTGTTTTTTGGTTATCATTGTCTGTCAACCGGTTTTATCTCTCAGGATCTTCCAATTTCTAAGACTAAATTATCCAATGTTGGAACTATTGATTTAGAAATTAGTCTCTACTTTGGAGAAAAACTTCGCTACTAGCGTCTGAACTTCACATGTTGTCTGGCCGCGCACACAAAACACCCTCGATGTCACTCCGTTTTCATGTCTCACACACTGATTCGTGGTACCTACCCTTTGAGTCTACGACCGTAGTGCCGCAGCCTCGCCAAACACTCTCCCCTCTACGCGGATGCTATTTGCACCACATGGCACTTTGTAGTGATACAAAATATATGCACGAAATGCAATTTTCTTCTAATTTGAGGTCAATTTTCTTTGTTTTACGGTTAGGGAGTCATGAAAGATCCTAATTTTTTGCCGTCAAAATCTGTCTAACGCATATATCTTGTGCATCGTACTCCTAGAAAAAATTTCGACATAGCTGGTGAGTACTCCGAATCTTGCATCTCTGTCATTTTCCCCAGACGAATATGTAATATTTTCTGATCAAATAAGCTAATTTTGTGCTTCCTCTTGGTTCTGATCGCATGTTCAGTGCGTAGAAGATGGGCGAAAACAAATCCGAAACTTTGTATTTTGATCTGAATACGGGAGCTAAGATCCCATCTGTTGGTCTTGGAACATGGAAGGCTGAAACAGGTGTGGTCGGTCAAGCTGTCATCGCTGCAGTCAAGGTTCATTATCCATTCTTCAAAAGTTTAAACTATCACATGATTAGATAAAGCCTTTGTCTAGGGTTAAAATTTATGCTCAAGAAGTGTTCTTGGTTATGCAGACTGGCTACAGGCATATTGACTGTGCATCAGTCTACGGAAACGAAAAAGAGGTAGAATTTTAATCATTTCTTACAGAACCTTAATTATAATTTCTTTAAATTTTCCCTTTTTATCCTTCAATATTGTGATGGACTTATGTTATCTTTTCTTCTGTTGACATCTTGCAGGTAGGAGTGGCATTGAAGGAACTATTTTCAACTGGCGTAGTACAGCGTAGCGAACTCTTTATTACATCTAAGTTATGGTATGTGTTCATTCTCTTTTGTGTCTTCAATCGAGTCTCGTATTTCTGAATAAATATTACCTCGGCACAATCCTAAGTTCATTTCGCTAAGTGTTTAGAAACAATATTCTTAATTATATATGTTATCGATAGAGAAAAATTGATGAAATTGCAAGAGTTGGATCTTACTTTAGAGCCAGGTATTTGGTATGTGCAATGGAATCTTATGTTGTCTCCCCTGAATCTTCGTGACGTATACAGGTGCAGTGACCATGCCCCTGAAGACGTATCTAAGGCACTGAGCAAGACTTTAGAAGATCTGCAGCTTGATTATATTGATCTATATCTTGTATGCAACTAGTACTTTGTATAAGCACGACATTTCGTGAGGCTAACCTTTTCTGCCTGAATTTGGAACTCCAATAACAATGAAATTAAAATTTTAAGTGGTTTTGTGGAACATTCTTGTGCAGATACACTATCCACTTCGTACAAAGCGAGGCTCAGTAGGTTTCGCTCCTGAAGTCATGGTTCCATTGTGCCTTCCAGAGACTTGGAATGCAATGGAGGGCCTGTACGCATCTGGTCAGGCACGAGCAGTCGGGGTGAGCAACTACTCGTCTAAGAAGCTGCAGGACCTCCTTTCTTATGCAAAAGTTCCACCTGCAGTAAATCAAGTGGAGTGCCACCCTATCTGGCAGCAACCGGCTCTTCACAATTTGTGCAAATCTGCTGGAATTCATCTGTCGGTATATTCTATATGCCAACTTGAGAAATTTTCCATGGAGGAATCCGCCCTTAGTTCTACTCAATTTTCTTCAATGTTATTCTCATTTATTGATTGGGTTGATAACTTGATTATTTAGTGTATAGAATGGTTCCTTAAAAGTTTTAGAACCCGAAATGTGATACTTAAAACTAAAAATCAAAACAATTTTTCCGAGAGTAGAATTGTATTGATAACTCTACACCAAAACAAATGTCTAGAAAAGGTCAAAGTTAAAGAAAATTAAGTAGAAGTGAGATTTTCTTAACGCGTCTTGCACGGAGCCCAACTGATACCAACTTCAAAGGTTCAACATCCATTTTAATTTTAAGGAAACTGAGTAGCTTATTTTTTTTCAACATCCATTTTAATTTTCAGGAGACTGAGTAGCTTTTTTTTTTTTTTTTTTTTTTATTTTTTATCTAGAAAACTCTTCCTTTCCTTTCAGGCATATTCTCCTCTGGGTTCTCCAGGGGTTTTGATGAAGGGGGAAGTTCTGAAGGATCCAGTACTGAATGAAATCGCCAAGAAACTTAACAAGTCAACCGCGCAAGTATGTCTTCGTTGGGGCATTCAGAGTGGACACAGCGTCCTTCCAAAGAGTGTAAATGAAAGTAGGATCAAGGAAAATCTAAGCTTATTCGACTGGTCCATTCCCCCAGAGCTCTTCTTGAAAATTTCGGGAATCCACCAGGTTTGTATAACACATGCTTAAATACATCCCTCGACACGTTTTATCACATAAAAGTTTCCATTGACATTAACTTGCTTGTCTGTTATGCAGCAAAGGCTCCTACGGGGTGATTTCGTAGTCCATGAGAGCTTGAGTCCTTATAAAAGCGTTGAAGAACTGTGGGATGGTGAAATATGACCTCTTTTATTCAATTTGATCCGTACAAGTTTGTCGATTTTCTTGCTTTCTCTGCCACATTTCAGATGGAAGAAACTGTATTTTGTTGTCTGCGATCTGCTTTTATAATCCACTTTCTTATTGACTAAATTTATTAAATGTGAATAATGGCATGCATTGCATGAGAGGGAAAATATTGTTTTCATAAGCAGCTTTGCTTACCACACTGTCCCAAGGACTCTCCTTTGTCTGTTGGATTTGGAAGGACTCCGTGCAACAGATCGGTTCCGGCCTCAAGGGTCTCAGAATTTGAAACTTTTTCGACGGAATTGTGCCTGTTCAAATCCACCTGAAAAATTCTGTGAAACTTTTTTAAATCCTTGTTGGGCTTGCCAAACGGGTCACTTCGGCTTAAATCAACTTTCCTTCGAAACCCAAAATTCCTTGTCAAGACTCAGAATGCAACCCTAAAGGTTGAATTCGTTTGGTACTTGGAATAGAATTGGATTGGAAAACTCGTTAGCTTTTTTTTTATTTTTTTTTGAACAAACGAGGTTGGAAAATTGGTTATGTCTCACAATGAGTTAGCTAAGTCTCTAACTTTTAACTTATCATTTTTATTCCTTTTCTCAGTCTCTCCCAAAGATCATTGATATGAGTAGCTTATAACTTATCTTTATAATCCAAGTAATGTTATGCATACTATGTTTTTATACCACATTTCTATACCACCTTAAGTGGCATTTGATGTGGACAGCCACATTATTTAAATTAATCAGATTTTTAAATTTAATTCATTATTTAATAAACTAATAATTAAGAAAAACTAGTTAATTAAATGATGATTGTGGTATACGAGGAGTCTTATGATTGTGGTATACGAGAAGTCTTTCTCCTTCCTTTCCTTGGCTTCCTTTCCTTGGGTTTTGCAAATTTTTCAAATGATGTGGTTGTCCACATCAGATGCCACCTAAGATGATATAAAAATATAGTATAAAAACATAGTATGAATAGCATTACTCTTATAATCCCCTTATGAAAAATTTGTTGTCTTTACCTTAGTTTGTTACCTAAGATACCGTTTCAAAAAAGTGGAAACTACTTTCTCTAATTTTCAAAATTTAGCCTTGAGTTTTCACTTGTTGGTTTTGAGTTTTCAATTTTTTGAAAACAGAAAGTAGTTTCCAAAAAAGTTAAAAAAAAAATAAATGGAAGCTGAAAACGAAATAGTTATTAAACAACCCTTAAATGTATCTTTAATTTTAGGGAGTCTTAACGAAACACTCCTGGTACTATCCACTTTTAACGTTAAGGACATTTTTACTGTAAAAAGTCACTCCTAGTACTATTCACTTACAACACTTTTTTGCCCTTTTGATAAAACTCAAAGTTTTCAAACCTTCGTTTCCCTTTAATTGTATGAGTTATCCAATATTTTTCAAGGGGTGTAATATCCACACACCCCATTTTACTTCTCACACACCTTTTTAATTTTCGGTCGTCGGATCGAATGAATTGAAGAAGATCAACGGACAGAAATTATTAAGGGGTGTGTGAAAAGTAAAATGGGGTGTGTGGATAACATAAGCCTTTTTCAAACCCCACTACTCATCAAACCAGTCCTAATTCTAAATATGATTGTAGTCATGAATCATTTTAATCCTTTTAAATGAAAAATAAAAAATAAAAAAATCAAACAAGATTAGATAAGATGAAAGAGAGAGAGAGAGACGTAACAACCATCTTCTCTTTTAATCTGAAATAAATAAAACCTCTATAATTCCTGATTAAGAGGATGATTACATGAAGCCCCCTTAATCCAGGTAATCAAAATCTGGCAAGGGGACAAACGTCGATTTTATACGACGATACTATACGTAGAATATTTCTGTGGAGCAATGAACTCCTACACTGTCATTTGATAAAGATATATGTAGTAGCTAAGGCTAACAGATGACCATATGTGTTGAGATGTTTAGGAATTAAGCAGGTCCTTGTGGGTGTACTCGACCCCTCTATCCGCGTCTACAATCTGCCCGTTTCCTCTCAGAACCCTGCATTTTTTTACGCAGACGAAGGAATCATGCAACAAGAAACAACCAGTATGCTCAAAGTTTAGAAATAAAGATAATGCAGGACTGATATACCATCTTGTTGTTAGTAATCCTTCAACTCCTACAGGACCTCGAGCATGAATCCTGCTCGTACTTATCCCGACCTGTTCATGCACCAGATCAGTGACAATTGAGGGGGAAGAACAAAATGTTGGTAATCTATGCCAGAACTATAATCAGAGAGCACTTACTTCTGCACCGAGTCCAAAGCGAGCTCCATCACAAAACCTTGTACTCGCGTTATGAAAGACTGCAGCACTGTTAATGCAAATAGTACAGCCATCAAGATGTGATCGATTCAGAAAATTTTGAGTAAAACCAATTAGAATAAGCGTCTTTCACTGTTTGAAAAAATATCGTTCATATTTTTCGCAAAGAAAATAAGGTTTTGGGAAGCCAATGAAAAATGCTCTATTCTGTCCTGTGCTGTGCACACATGAAATATGCTTACCTGTCGACTTGAGTTAGGAAAGTTTCAGCGACTTGACAATCTTCAGCCACAATGCAATCGGTATGAGCACTGCAAAACAGGGGATGTGGAGAGGAGTGGAGGGGCAATAAAGTTAGAGAAATCACCGGAAAATAATATCAGTACAGCAGCGATAGGGGAAAAAGAAGAGATGAAATATGCGAAATGTAAATACCTTCCATGTTCATGAATGTGGTCAATCGCAGCGTTTACATCATCAACGATTTCAACTGAGCAAGCCAATGAACTGTACTCGTAATGTAATGAGTTTGTCTCTGGAAGGTTTAACGCAGTTGCCGCCCTAGGTCCACCATATAAGGTAACATCTGCAACCGACTTTCTGTCATTAACTGATATCCGTTACCAATATTTAGAAATGAAAAATGTAAATAGATTGTATCAATGGGAACAGAACCATAGTTCTGAAGTCCTATAAGGAACAAACAAAAATTTAGGCACGGCTTTATGAATAAGCGTATCACATTGTTAGGCATCAAAATTTATTTCTCAATTTTAACTAGAAAAGAGGTTACTGTACAGATACATTAAACTTTCCTGCAGTTTGTTGATAGATAAGTACACAGTATAATTTGGACAAAAAAAAAAGTACACAGTATAATACCTGAATCCTGGAGTTCTGAAATTATCTGCTTAAACCCGCCATCGTCACTCAACAAATCCTTGTGTACGAGAAGTGTTTCCTGAGAAAAAGAGTAACATTTTAAGGCACCGGTACAGTGAATTCCAATGTCAGGTACAGATAATAATGGACGCCTAGACGGGCATAAAAGATCAGCCATGGATAGCAAAAAGTAAAATTACCATTGCATTGCAGGCAGCAGGGTAGTCTACTTTCGCATCCAGAACAATGCGCTTCGCCATATCCAGATTAGCGGACTTGTCAACATAAACGTGACAAATCCCATCTGTGCATCAGAAGCAGCAATTTACTAGTAACTCTAGTTTGCAGTGGTAGGGTATTACATTGCCCATACTATTTCTCTTACCGGCATGACCAAGAACAGGTATCTTAGTTGACTCCTTAATTTGAGAAACAAGCTTATTGCTGCCTCTAGGGATGACAAGATCAATCACATTATCGAGCTGCAGCAAAACAAATTGTTTAGTATTCATCGTACTGAAAAACCATAAACATTTTAAAGTTTCTGTACACACCTTGAGCAGGTCAGGAATCTCATCTCTTGTATTCACAAGTCCAATAAGTTTGCCGCCAACAGGTTCTGGGATTGCTGAGGTGATGACCTGCAAATAGAAGAAAGTAATTAAGCGAATGCAAATTAGAAACGTGTTAATGCAGAGAAAACCATGCTCCTGAATTTATACTTTGTAAATAATGATAAAAGGCCGTAACCAGAGTCTCAAACCTTGTGCAAGATTGCATTTGATCGTTTGGCTTCTTTCCCACCTTTAAGCAGAAGACCGTTCCTACTTTGAATTGCTAACGAAGCTATCTGTTGAATAGTTTGGAAGAGAAAAGAGTTGGTAAACTTATCAAGAAACTTCCATGTGAACAAAATCAAGAAAATGTCAACAACAGAAACAAGACTGTAAAACTGTAAATTTCTGCAGGCTTAGATGCTTAAGGATTCGGGAGTATATATATGAAGTGTATATTTTGTATACCTGAACAAGGGCATCCGGTCGAGACTCAAACACAACTAAGAGAACACCCAAAGGACAAGACAGCTTCTCCAAGACAAGCCCTTCTGCAAGCTGCATGTAAGAGCAGTTGTAAAATTGTCAAAAGTGAGATGCAGTGGAGAGGGAAAACAGTTAATCAAAAGGGCTACGATTAACATTCGGTTCCATGTTAATTGAATCATTAAAAGTCTAAACATGTACCATACGTGGTCATTAATACTGAATCACAACAACGAGAATAGTGTCCTGACCTCGGTCTTCTTTAGAACACGGCCAATGGGCTCTTCCATGTCGGCAAGTTTACGTATGGACTTTGTGAGAGCAGAAATCTATAGACACGCATTAGATACAAAATAAGAAGATTTCACCCAAGCTGGAGTGATGCAGGCTTAGTTTCAACTACACAAGTATTGAACTGCATACCTTCCCAGGCTTTAGTGCTAAACGCGATATTAGGGCCTTTTCATATCTATCGTCCTGCGCAGCAGCAACATCAGCTTCATTCGCAGCTAAAATTTCACCTTCATTTGCCTCCAAGGCATCAGCTACGTCAAGCAAAATTTTCCTCCTCTCTTGAGATCCTAGAGCCTGCAAGGAAAATAATTCACATTAGATCCTGAATCTGTCTACTTAACCACTTGCTCTATATCCAAGTTCTTGAGGAATACTTTAATCTCTATACAAAGAACCTCGACCGTCACAATTGAAAAGGAAAACAAGAAGTTTATGAAGACAATTACTCGAAGTTGTCTAGATGATTCCCGCGCTGCAACAGCCATGTCACGTGCACCTTCTTCCTTAACTAGAGTCCACAAATGTGCATCTTGATGAAATACAGTGCCTATCCGGTCTCCACGAAGCACTTTCTTTATGTTGTCTGCATAACCGCTGTAATAAAATACAAAACTTTAGCAACAAGAAACTATTGCAGTAGGCCAGAAACTCCATTGAATTATGCCAGAAAAG